GGAAATGAGGAACTCAATAACATCACTGGACACTGCAGAGACCGATAGAGGAAGACGAGCAGAACTGAGAAACAGAACCGATAAACACAAACAACACCTCACATACAGATTCAGCAATCAGAGAGAGTGAGGGAGAGAAAGAGAGAGAGAGAGAGAGAGAGAGAGAGAGAGAGAGAAATAGAGAGAGAGAGAGATAAAGAGAGAGAGAAATAGAGAAAAGAGAGAAAAAATACAGGAGAAAGAAAGAAAGAAAGAAAAAGAAAAAAGAAAGAAGGATAAAAAAGAAAAGAGAAAAAATAGAGGATACAGAGAGAAAGAGAAAGAAAGATAGAAAGAAAGAAAGAAAAAAGAAAGAAAGAAGGATAAACAGAAAAAAGAAAAATAGAGGAAAGAAAGAAAGAAAGAAAGAAAGAAAGAAGAGAAAAAAATAGAGGACAGAAAGAAAAAAGAAAGAAAGAAAGAAACTGTTATTAAGAATTCTCTTCATCTTTTCTTCTTTTTCTATTTTTTCTTCTTTTTTATTTATGTAAAATTTTGTTTTGGCAGTAATGTAGCTTGAAAGAAGGAAAAAGAACAGACAGAGAAAAAATAGACAGAGATAAGAGAGACAGAAAGAAAAAGAAAGAGAGAAAATGTGCTTTTGAGTAAGAGACAAAAGAGAGAGAAAAATAGAAAAAAGAAAGAGAGGAGAAACAGCGGAAACAGAGAAAAGAGAGCAAAGGAGAAATAGAGAGAAAAGAGAGAGAAAAGAGATAACAAAAGGAAAAACAGAGAGAAGAGCGAAAAAAGCAAGAGAAATAAAAATACTGACAACTGAAAGTGAAAAAGGAGAGAAGAGGGAGAGAAGAATTAAAAAACAGCCAGGGCAGAACAAGAGATAGAGACAGAAAAACAGCAGGAAAGAGAAAGAAAGCGTGAGAGAGAGAAAAGAGAAAGACAAAGGAGATAAAATAGAGAGAAAAGAGAAAGGGAGGAAGGATAAAACCAAAAGAGAGAGAAAAGAGAGAGAAAATAGAGAGATGAGAGAATCAGGCTGTTATTAAATATTCGCTCAATCTTTTCTTCTCTGCTGAAAACTGATTTCACACACAGCTCATTCTGTATTCGTCTATTTCTGTTTTTGTTTGTTTCGTACTTTTTTTCTCACGTTATGTAAATTGTTTATACAGTAATGTGACTAAAAAACAGAGACAGAAAAGCGATCAGATAAAATACTTTCATTTCTTGTTTGTGATTCATACGATTCATGTTTCATTTCAGTTTCTCTGTTTTCCGGTTTATGTTGACAAATTTGGCAACAATATAACTTTTAATATTCACACAAACTCACTGAACTGAACTGAAGAGGAAAAAGAAAGAATGAGAGTGAGAGAGATAAAGGGAGAGGGAGAGAGAGAGAGGGAGAGAGAGAGAGAAAGAGAGAGAGAGAGAGAGAGAGAGAGAGAGAGAGAGAGAGAGAGAGGGAGAGAGGGAGAGGGGGAGGTCCTGGTGGAAGGTGGGGGTTGAAGCTGTTGATTCACTCCTCTGGCATATTTTCCCTCCTGACCTAAAGAGGAAAGAATTAGAAGAAGAAGAAAGAAGAAGAAGAAGAAGTAGAAGAAGAAGAAGAAGAAGAAGAAGAAGAAGAAGAAGAAGAAGAAGAACAGCAACAACAACAACAAAGAAGAAGAAAAAAAGAAGAAGAAGACAAAGAAAAAGAAAAAGAAGATAAAAGAGGAATAGGAAGAAGATAAAGTAGAGGAAGAAAAAGAAAAATAGGAAGAAGAACAAAAAGAAGAAGACAAAGAAGAGAAAAAGATAAAGAAGAATAGAAAGAAAAAAAATGAAGAAGAAGAAAAAGAAGATAAAGAAGACGAAGAAAAGAAAAAGAAGGTAAACGATAATAAAAAGATAAAGTAGAAGAAGAAGAAGAAGAAAAAGAAGAAGAAAAACAAGAAGAAGAAAGGAAGATGAAGACGAAAATGATAAAGAAGAGGAAGAAGAAGCAGAAAAAGAAGATAAAGAAGATGAAGAAAAGAAAAAGAAGGTAAACAATAATAAAAAGATAAAGTAGAAGAAGAAGAAGCAAAAAAAAAGAAGAAAAAGATAAAGAAGAGGAAGAAAAAGCAGAAAAAAAGAAGATGAAGAAGAAGAGAAAAAGAAGATAAAGACAGTGCGGTGATTATGATAAAGTTATTTTTGTTTGTTTTCTGCCAAACAAGGACAGTGTTTTGTCCCTGTTTAATTATATATATATATATATTTTAAAGAATAATCTATTAATGTTTCTCTCTGCTAATTGCAGTGCACAGTGTTGCTATTGTAAGACATACAATATGAAATGTGCCATTACTTTTGCACAGGCCACATATTACATTATATTTTACTTCCAATATGTTAAATTCAGTAAATAAACAGTAAGTGTGCAGTAAAATGTGCAGTAGTGTGTCTCAGTAGAGGACATGTTCCCTTATTTACACTCGGAAAATCAACAAAAAACACTGAGAGTGTTTAAACTTAGTGTTCATTTAACAGCATGTGGCACATTTGTGGTTCAATTCACTTCATTATAAGTTTAAACAATTATTTTTAAATTGAAACTGAATTGTTTACAGAATCTTACTATTTTTACAGTCAGAGTTATGCAGCTCATTTTAGAGCTGGACGAGGCTCACGGGGTAAAATAAAGAAAGGTATATATATGGGTCTGTCACTGTTGTTGTGTTCATTTCTTCTCTTTTCTTTGAAGTTTTGTTTGATCATCATTTATAACTGCATGCAGAACAGTACTACAGCGTCATCCTCTGAGCCTAGAAACATAAATTGGCTCTGAAGGGCTTAAAAGTTCTCTAATATTGAGATTTTAGGGTGGAAAATCTTTTCTATTATTCTCATATTCACTGTCACTGGGGCAGGACCCCTCTTGTCACTGGGGTGGTCCCCCTAGGGTACATCTCAGTACCTTTAGTCAGGGAACATAACTGAACCATAATCTACTGAAATGATATGGTCTAAGCTGTACTGACTCCACACACCCCGTCTCGCCTCCAGGCTTTTATTTTACTGTTCTGTTTTAAAACATTCGGTTATGAAAAGATACAAATACGAACTTTTCACCTGGAAAAACTTATTTAAGTTTCACAATTAGACCTTAAAACCACTGTTGAACCTTTGAGGGAACATTTACACTGTTTGTACCTTGATGAACGAAAAATGTACCTGCAGAGAACCTTTATTTACTAACAGTGTATTAAGAGAACAGCTTTCTGCTACAGAGCACAGAAATCCTTAGATAGTTTCTCGAGCTGTAACGCGTCCAGACGGGAAAGACAGAAACCTGACCATTCAGATGTAAAGAAGCACAAACCAAACACTTTTCCAGTTGCAGCAGTGTTTAAAACTATAAACTAACTGTGAATTAAATGGTTATATACATGGTAATAATGTTAAAGCAGCTTATTACAGGAGTGTAGATCTACAGTGTACTAAAAAACTGCACAGCATAAAACTTTGGGATCAGTTTAATCATGTATATGTTTATCCAGCAGGTTTAGTTATTGTTTATTCCTCAGTAACAACAGTATAACAATAAGTTATAACACACAAATCCCAACTTGGTTCCAAAAGAAGTATACACTGTTAGAAATAAAGGTTCTGGTACATTTTTGTTCATCAATTTACAAACAATGTAAATGTTCCCTCAAAGGTACTACAGTGGTTTTAAGGTCTGATTGTGAACCTTAAATAAGTTTTTCCAGGTGAAAAGTTTGTATTTGTATCTTTTCATAACCGAATGTTTTAAAACAGAACAGTAACATAAAAGCCTGGAGGCGAGACGGGGTGTGTGGAGTCAGTACAGCTTAGACCATATCATTTCAGTGGATTATGGTATACAGTTATGTTCCCTGACTAAAGGTACTGAGGTGTACCCTTGAGGAGACCACCCCAGTGACAAGAGGGGCACTGCCCCAGTGAGAGTTTAGTACCTTTATTTCAGAGAGTGTTGTATAAACTCTCTCACTGACACTAACTCAATTAGCTAAATATAAACAAATAAACAAACCCATAAATAACCAACACAACAAAGGCAGTAAGTGCTGACCAAATCAGGAAGCTAATAAGCTCAGTATACTGTAAAACTGCAGAAGACAAAACGTTGAAACCTGTTTTATCATTAAAAATGTGTTTAGGATTTGTTTTCTCTAAGATTCAGCACCATCAATCCATAAACAAACAAACAAACGGACAAATAAGACCCCCAAAATATCAATAAAATATAATTAAATGTGGTTAACAAACAGATGCTTCCCTCCTTTAAAAAAAATAAATAAAAATAAAAGCATTAACAAAAAATAAATAAATAAAAATTAAATACAATTTTTAAAAATCTTGGTTCTATAAAGAAGAATAATTAAAAGTTTGACGTCAGTTCCCTCACTTTTCCCCTCCTCATAACTTAAACAAACAAACAAAAATGTAAACAAATGCAAAAAGTATTTAACCCCCCCCATGAAAAAAAAAATGAATAAATAAATAAAATGTTTTGGTCCCACTACATAAACAAACCACTAAATAAATACTTTTCCTCCACATTCCAGGAGAAAAAAAATAAAAATACAAAGAAAATATACAAAATTTAGACGCGCACTTTAACATTTCAGATTTTCACGACCACCTCAGACCCTGGGGTTCTGAATCTCGCGCGCACGGTTGTGTACCAGACAGAGAGAAAGAGAGAGAGAGAGTGAGAGAGAGAGAGAGGAGAGAGGCACGTAATTGACACGGTCACGTGTTCAAGCGCGGCAGTGCGCGAGCAAACGAGCTGCGAGAAAGAGAGAGAGAGAGAGCGCGAGGGAGGGAAGAGAGCGAAGGAGAGAGAGAGAGCGAGGCAGAAAAAGAGAAAGAGACAGAGAGAGAGAGAGAGAGGTGGTGAAAGAGAGAAAGAGAGAGAGAGAGACATGCGAGAATGTGGCGCGCGGGGCAGCACGCTGTACCATGCGAGCTAAACTCGCCGGACGTGGGGATGTGGGCTCGAGCTCGACGGTGACGCGCATCACCCCAGTGCACGCGGAGGGAAGCGATTTTCCAGGAACTTTGGAGCGGAGGGTCCGCGGGGAAACATGGCCGAAGGTTACCCTGCGTTTCTTTTCTTTTCTTTCTGTGTTTTTTTTTTTATTGCGCTCATTCCGCTCGCGCGCTCGGCTCCGCTGATATGAAGGAGGAAGGAGCCGGTGGTGGTCGTAGTTGGCGGAGGTGGTCGGTAGTGGCGGTGGTTGGTGGGGAGGCATGAACAGAAGCAGCAGCTTTTCGCTATTGTTGCCCGCGCGGGGTCGGTGTGTGTGTGTGTGTGAGTGTGTGTGTTTGCACCGCCCCTGCTGCTGCACGTTGCCCATAACCACTGATATTGCTTTTTGCACGCGCGATTGGTGTAGTAGGTAGTAGTGGTAGTGGTGGTGGTGGTGGTATGGGGGGGGGTTGTTCTGGGGTCTGTTTTTTTTGCCCTAATAGGAGGGGGGAACGTGCGCACACCTGCCCCCCGGAGTTCAGCCCCCAGAGCGGCTGAATGACGGTAGATGCACCGCGTGAGGAAGAAAGGAAGGGAGAGCGCGAGACCGAGGGGGCAAACCGAGAGGAGAGTTGGCGGATTGTATAAGAGCGAAATTGAGCAATCGCAGTAGCAGCAGCAGGCACTGGGGGCCGTGCAAGGTTCTGAAAGTGTGCTTCACTCCTGAACGACCCCTTTTACCACCCCCCTCCCCAACACCCCCCTCTATTTCCCCCCAAACATAAGGCTTTGCTTGTGCAGTTACACGCGAATACAATGTGTCACATCAACACCACTGCTGTTCTACTTTGTTGCGAGAATTGTGTTGCATTTTATGCACGTGCAAATTCAAAGCGTAGTGCACGCGCCGTGCTGAGTGATGAGCATAGCAAGCGAAGGAAAGGAGAGGGGGATTTCCATATTTCCATATTTCTTCCCAGTGTCCATATTTCCCACAACTCCACCCGCTTTTTTTTTACCCCACTTTTTTTTTTACCCCAAGTTCTCAAAGAAGAAGAAAACAAAAACACAAACACGCCAAGCACAGTGAGCTTGACTCTATGCTTCTGTTGCCGTGCAGGAGGGCCAGGCAAAGGCAAAGGTGGCGGCGGAGACCCCGCCAAGACCCCCGGTCAAGAAGAGCGGACCCAGTCAGGCTCCGGCTACTGCAAGTGGTTCAACGTTCGCATGGGCTTTGGATTTATCTCAATGACCCACAGCGAGGGAAACCCGGTGGAGCCTCCACTGGACGTGTTCGTCCACCAAGTAAGTTGCTTCTTCCTTTATTTACGCTGCTGGTTTCATGGTTTCATGGACGTTTGGCACTTGAGAACTTAATTGGCCCGCCCTTCATCACCCGCGCTGGACAACACATCCGCGTACCATGGCTTGTTTGGGGTCTTGGTAGTGCCCTCTGTCACTTTACGGTTGTTTTTTCCTGGCGGTGAGGCTCTAACGAAGCTCGAGCCTGAGGCGCCAGAATGTAACCGCTGCACCGTTTAAAGTGGAACGGGTAATTCGAATAGGAAGCCAGCTTCAGCTTCACGAGACGTTTTCAGGCTACACATTCGTATAACACACCGTGATGCAGTTGATGTTCTCGACCCCTGAGCAAAAACACCATCACGTGCTCACGTGTTTACATGGGCTTTTGGTAGCTTTTGTTGTGTTTTCGGATTAGGTTGAGGTAGCAACTGCTTAGGCCCTGTTTAAGCTGGGTTTTAGGTTCGTAGTCCATGCAAACAGCGTATTCCCTTCCTTCATACCCAAACGGCCGTGTTGTGGTCGTACAAACCAGATGAAGGCCTGCTGACTGATGGCTTTTGGTTTTTCCGGTTCGAATGAAGTCTGTTTTCCCTCCAAACGCTTCCCTAACGCTTTGGGTCATGTTTAAAGTAGGCTTTTTGTTAAGGTGGAACACGTTCATAGCCGTTTCCATCACCTCTGGTCTGGTTCATCAGGGCTCGGCCTGGTTTGGTCATTGACGCCTCGTTGGTTTGAACGTATGGCTCCTCAGTGCCTCATGGGAGGGCTGTGTGTTTATCTGCTCTCCAAAAACGGCTTAGAAGATACACTTTAAAGTGCTACACACTGCTCCAGCTCCTAAACTGGGACCAAACCGCCCAATTTGAGAAGTTTTCAGCGCGAGGAAGCTCGTAAATTTCACGTATTTCAAAGGCGTCAGTTTAGCAACATGCTAGCCAGAACTAGCAAAAGTTTGTTTTGCAAATGCAGCCGGTGTTTCTGTGAGAACCCAACGGAAATCTGATGTATGGCAATGTGTGGGTTTCAAATACAGGTCATATATTAGCATATATAGATTTACTTAAGGCTATATTCAACTTATATTAGTCACAAATGTACACATGTGACATATATGCCAACACTGAGTTTTCCATTAGCATATATGAGTACTAAATGCCATCCTTATATGAAAACTGTTTTCTGTCATACGTTCTTAAATGTGAGCTATGCATATATGTTTGTATATGCTGACAAATGGCTGAAATAGCCTATGTGACACATATTTGAAAATAGAAAACCAAAAAAACAAGATTTTGGTGGATTTCATTTTGATTTTTTTGCTTTAAAAAATATTTCAGTGTTTGTGTCAGAGATATAGGTATCCAAACACGTGCATGATCCATATTTTGTGCATGTGTCCAATATTTGATACATACATGTACACTACGTATCTTGAAATATATGCTTGACCCTTTAAGATAACGATATGTGGGCGTATTTGGCCATATTTCAGATTTCCATGTGGGAAATTGGCATCTCTTCAGAACAAATGGCTTACTAAGTGTAAGTTATGTAAAACAGAATAAAATATCTGGTGCAGTTAGAAGAGTTAGCCTTGGGGAAGGTGACCCTTCTCAGGAGATCCGTTGTTTTCCTTGCTACTGTGAGGCCTAGACCATTGTTTTATGCTTCATGTTGCTAAGTGTACCAAGGGAAATCTTTACAGAACCAGGCCTTCTTTGTCATGAAACAAATTTAGGTTCATTGAATCGGTTGTCACCCTTCGTTGAGATTTACCTGATGGAAAAATACCAGAAAAAAACATCATAAAATAAAGCTAATTCTAGGATCCTCGCTTAAATTTCATGCATAACCTAGCTGCCTCACTACATTTGAATATTGCTTTATTTCTGTTGATGCTTGCAAGTTTAATTAGAGAGTAACAGGCTAGTTGTGTAGAATAGAATGTCTGGTATCTCAGCCATGCTGAGCTCTCACTTCACTACGTGCATTTCGCTCCGTCTAGACAGTATTGCAGCTCTGTTATGCACAGATTCTTCCTCAAGCTTCCGTCTTTCTCAAGGACCGCCACAGCAATAACGCCTTTTGAAATCTCTGTATAGAAAATCAATGCTTTCTGTTCAACTTCATAGATTGTGTCGTAGCTAGAACCTTCTTGCTAAGCCTGATTCATTGTTCACTTTAGTGTACGTAAACCACTCTGTTCTCACAAATAGCTTTGTCAAAGCCTTACATCCCTTTCAATCAGGGAGAGAGAGGTATGGAGGCCTACGCTCACGGAGCCGCCATGTCTGTAGTCCTGAGAAAACCAAGTGCATTATTGGAAATGAAGTTCCTCCGACAGATGTCTGGCCAGGCAAAGAAGCTAACTGGTAGCTCATAAGTGGAAAGAATAGCTCTTCTGTGTGCCTGAGCGTTTTGTTTTGCGTCTACTGCGCTTTGGAATTATGTTCTTATGTAATGTAGTGCAATGATAAGCGTCCTCAAAAATAAAAAGATGTTGAAGGCACGTTCTTTAATGGAAAGATTTCTCCTTACATGCTGTAGCTTCAGTTGGATTCACAGGACTATTTACACTGCAGTTTTCTAATATAATATTTTCTATGATACCATTTACACTAAATAATTTTACAGGATATTTATCTAATGTAGCAGGTCTTTATAATGTCCTCAGTGTAATTTTAGAAATCTCTAAATATTAATAACAAAGAAACATGAGTTTGAATCAGGCATTGGTGCTATAACCTTGCTGTTTTTTCATTGGTTCAGATTTCGTAGTTGCATATATCCGTTACATTTATTCAGGTTTATTTTAATCATTTGTATTAATCAAATAGCCTAATACCTTTTTATATTTATTTAACTTCTTAAAACAATCCAGTTATGCCTTGAAATTATTTTTACAACCTGCCCTTTGAGTAGATACCAAAATTACATTTCGTGTTTGTATTTGAGGTGTAATTAAGCTATTAACATATTCTTATGGAACAATGTTTCGTGTATAAATGCTGGGCGGTGTTATTGCACTGCTGTTTATCTCTAAGTGAATTCTAATATTGCTTATTTCGGCCCCAAACTGTTTTTCTGTAATTTGAATTAAAATGTTAAAATATTACAATAGTAAAATTCTCTTGCTCTATGCAAACTGCAAATTAATTGAATTTTAATGATCTGTGTTCAATGTACGCAAATTCTAAAGATTATATACACTCTAAACTCTAAGTTTGAGGTTATTTTTAAAAAGTTAGAGAGGAAACAGATTTCCTCACTTTTATTGTACACTAACAAATTTATTTTAATTCTACAAATGAGCTTTAATTTTAGGAAACTTAAGGTGATTCTGTTGTAAATTAATGTATAATTCTGACACTCTGAATCAGAAGATATTTAATTGCTAATTTGTTGCATTCATTATCTGAAACAATTGCTTGAGTAAAATATCACTTTGTTAAAGAAAATAAGCAAACTTGCTTAAAATGTTAAATACTGTTTTTGTGTACTTTGATAAATATTTCAAATACATTTATATTACCCTGTGAGTTTTTTTTTAACATTAAGCTCTACATTTTAAAATAATACGTTTTTTCAGAGAGTCTTGGACAAAACAGCACAGATTTTGGAACAAATTAAGCAAAATCCTGTGAGGAAAAAAACAAAATGAAAGAAAGTTCAGCAGATCAAATATGGAGGTTTTGGGAGCAGATCATTACAGAAATGTGGTTCTGTAAATGCTGAGCTGGTGAGTTGAATTGATCCAGGATGGGGCTGATACTGAAGCAGAATACAAATCTGTTAGAACCAAAGATTTAATACGAAAAATAAGCTCTGCATTTTTATATGCACTTTTAAGAAGAGTTGTAGGTTTCTTACATTTTTAATAAATGTTTTATTGATTAGGAATAAAAAAAACAATTTGTTTTCTACCCTAAACAAATGTGGTTCAGTTTTTGCATATTTTGAAAATTCTGCTGATTTTTACATGCAACACATGGCACAGATGCACATAATTTTGCTTTTTTTTTAAAAAAAAGTTTAATTTTACTCACTATTATATATTACTGGTATATAACATTTTTCAGTTGGGCTTTTGAAAAATGCTAGTTGTATGCTAGTTTTATTCAATCTAAATAAATTACTTTGAATGAATCATTTTTTTGAGGTGAATAAAACTAGTTCTATTACTTGCTACTGTATAAAGTAATTTTTTAGGTTGATCTGAGGAGCTATTTTTTACAGTTGTAATGATTGCTGAGTGCTGCTCTAAGCTAAAATAGTGTCTTATAAAGCTGACATAGCTTGATTTGATTTTGTCCTCCTAAAATTACACCACAGCGAACCTTACACAGTATTGCAGGCTTTAACTGGACAGGAAACAGATGACCTGAAAAGGAAACTTACTTTTTATGTAGTTTTTACAGGTTTTAAACTGTTCTTTTAAGACAACTCAAAACACACAGTAAATGACACATTACTGCAGTTAACTGTGCTGAATTTCATCAACGAAACTCATAGAAATAGAATTAAAAACTAACAGAAACTTGGCAGAAACTGAGACACTCCTGTTTGATTGGCCTTATAGATGTAATTGTCTATAATATATATAACTAAAATACTGCTGAAGGTGAAAAGCAAAAACCACAGTGTGTCTACTATAATGAAACAGATGTATAGATGATGTATTCTCCATTATTATTATTAATATTATTATTATTATTATTATTATTATTATTATTATTAATGAATTTATTTTGATAGTCTTTACAGATTATTTACAGATGCTAAAATTATTAACAAAGTATTTTCTGAAACTCTTTTTAAATATCAAGTTCAGATTTAATGGAATCTATTAAATTTAAAAAAATTAAAGGGCCCTGATTTTCCTTGCTTTTTTAATAATTGTAGAATTAAGTAAACCTGTTTAAAGTTTTAAAATGTACCATTCAATCTCTGGTCCATATCATCCATATATGGAATCTAAGCTGTAGAAACAGTTTTGAATT